TTTCCCCCCAAAGCCTCAGTAGATAGTTGTATGTCATAGCTGCACATCCTTCTAGTTGCTGTATGTGGGACGCGGCCTCAGCATGGCCGGAGAAGTGGTGCATCGGTGCACACCCGGGATCCGAACCCAGGCCACCAGTAGCAGAGCGCACGCACTTAACCGCTAAGCCACGGGGCCGGCCCTAACAGTGATTTTTTAAAAATAAACTTAAGTAATAGTACATTTAAAAAATACTGTAATGAATATTACATTTTATTCATTTATTTATAATACTCCAGAATCATATATAATATTGTCTTTGGATATATGCACTTTATAATTGTAAATCATATATTTAATTATTTGCGTTCTTCTCTCCCCCTTAAATTCCTATACATATTCTCTTATGTTGACATAGAAAACATACTTGTAATCCTTAATATCTATAAAATACTGGAATATTGTCATATCCCATTTTGACAGATTCGAAGCCACTTTGACAGTTCTGAAGCCACTTTTATTTGACAGTTGAGCTTTTAAAAAATTTTTGCAACTTTAAAAGAGGTATTGATATCATTATATAAATTGCCTTTTTTCTCTGGCTTATTTTTTGGGCTGTATTCCCATGGATAGGACTACGAAGTCAGCAAATATAATTAATTTCCTAGCTTTTTTATGACAGTGATTTTCTAACCTTTTTGTTTTCTAATTTCTAGGTACAGGAGCTCCATGAAGAGGAGGCACAGTGGGTGAACTATGATGAGGATGAGTTGTGTGTGAAGATGCAGCTAGCTGATGGGATCTTTGAGAGCTTGATCAGAGATACTATTGATGTTCTGAATCAGATCAGTGAAAAACAGGGGAGAATGCTACTTGTGTGACATCTTGCAAATAAATCGAACACTGAGTGCTAATATGAGTCCTGGGCCTTTCTGCCTCCTGATAAACACCCCATCTCCATCATAGCAAGAGTGCCTCCGGACCTTGTACCTCCAAGACTACTGGTTTGGAGTTCACGGGACAGTGCGGTATATCTGGTATTACAGCCTTTGCCTTTAGAGACTGTCCACTGGATTAATTGGTTGTTTTCGGTGGGCAGGGTTGCACTCCTGTTGTTGACACACAGTATAATCCTACACCTCTTATTAGCACCTACTGGGTCTCAGATGAGGGCTGAAAACACCAGACTTACCTCTTAGCTTAGACTAGGGTATCACTTCCTTGAGTGTGAAGTCAGGCAGGAGAGGTATATAGGTAAATGCGTCATATCTTCGTTGAAATGTATCCTGGTCTACACCATGAAAGTCATAAATGGACATTATAGTCTCTAAACAGTATTAAACCCTTAACCACTTCTAAATAGGCAAGTTTAATAATGTGTGCCTATTTCACATTCTGGAGTTTATTTCTTTTTGAAGACCATTTTCTTCCATTATTGCAGCTGAGCAGCACGAAGTGGACTGTCAAGTTAACAGAAATCAGTGGTAGCCTTGCTTTCTGAGCACCATCTAAAGAAATTTAAACCTTTGCATTATTTTTAGTTTTCTCTATATGGGCATGAAAACAAAGAAATGCCCCACTGAAGACTGGGCTCAAAGGACTGATGCAGGGCTGGCTCTTCTACCCCTTGTCTACCCCTGCACTTTTCTTACTCCTTATGAACCTGTACCAGCGGCTCCCAGAATCACAGATCCTCAGGACCATCTCAGGCATCCAGGCATGGCAAAAGTAGAAATAATTCCTTTTGGCCTTCAAACTTTCAACCCCCATCTCTCCCCAAGAAGTCAGAGACGCTGTTACTTGAATGATTTAGGAAATGAGTGTGTGCACCAAAGACACAAAGATATTGTCTATTATTTGTGTGCTTGTTTTCCGCTATGGAACTTTTTAATTTATTTTAAGATAAATTATACAGTTGAAAATGTGTGTCCCTATTCAGAAGTGAAAGATTTGTCTTGTAATAGTTAAACTTCCGTCTTGAAGCTTCTATGGTTCATAGTCTTTGCACAGGAAACCTATGGTTTTAACAAACCCATATACATATCGAAGAAGGCAGTTTAATTCAGTGAAAAGAAGATGAGCTTTTCCAGGATCACCTGCAGTAGCAGGAATGGGATAAAATGATTTAAAGACGCTGTAAAATTCAATTCTGCCTCTCTTGCAGCATTGCTTCTCACAACTATTACCTGTATCTGAAAAAATATAGACTCCAGCTGCTACATTAGAGCATACGTGATGCTCTCCTGGGACCTCAGTACCTGCCTTCTCGACTGGTTTCTCTTAATCAGTCCTATCCTTCAAGTAATCTAGAAGAATGTGGATAATCTTAGGCGTGAATGTAAATGCCTTAATATTGAAGGTCCTGATTAGAAGCATGATATAGACATCCACTGGATTCACATATACAAATATCCTGGAATGTTATAGCTTCAAAATGTGTTAGAAAAACCCCAAAGATGGTATAATCTTTAAGTGTGCACGTTCGTTCATTTCTGCATCTTCCTTCCAAACTTGCCTTTGCGTCTCAAATGTTTCACTATGCACACTTCCATTTCTCTTTGGTTTCATCTTGTCATTATGAAAAACTTACTGAAATAATCATTGGAATATTTGCATTTTGCACAATGACTGGTATGATAGCTCTTGACAAATAAGGAAAGCACTGAAATGTTGTGATTGGGTCTCGGGAAATGCTCACATTGGTGTGTTGCCAGCATTTCTTCTGGGCTTTTGGTGTTGAGCTCTAGTCTTGTAGCCATAATGAGCAAATGGACTAAGAGAAGCTAGGGTTTCTTGGGATTCTTAACCAGTAGTGTGGAGAGAGTATTTTCATGTGGCCAAGGAAAAGCAAAGGCTTTTCAGTTTGTGTTATCTGGAAGACAGTAAAACATCTGGTCTGCATCCTTTGGCTGTTTGTAGGATTACGTTGTCCTTATGATACTGAAACTTTACAGCTGCTGTAAATTTTTTATAAATGAATATGAAAATAATATAATAGGAATATAGGTTGTTTTTCTACATCCTCATTATTTGGACCTAAATCAATTTTTAATAAGAAAGTTTATCTTTACTCTTTGTGATATTATGATTCCAGAAAAGGAAAACAATGATATAAATCCATGGAATCAGCAGTCTGGACTTAGACTTCCCTGGAAAGAATGCTGCCGGGACTGTGGCAGTAGCCGTCCTGACATTCTCCAGCTGTCTGTACTGTCTTGAGAATCCTGGGTTCCAGATGAGAGGCAGGAATAGATCAGTCTTACTCCTTGCTAGAAATGATTATCCATAGTTTGGTAGCAGAAAACAAAGGAATCTATAATTAGCAGATTTTTATTATTTTAACTATTTGGATATAATTGAAAAGGGGTTTATTATTAGGATTAGGAATGATAAATATGGATACACAGCCACTCGTTCCATATTGTGATCTTTTAATCAAGCTCTGCCTCTTAACCAAGAATCTAAATATTCCCTCGTTCTAATCTTTGTTCCTTCTCCCCATACCCCCATCCTCTTTCAGTTGTTCTTCATAATTCCTCTAAGAAAAAGATCTTTGCATCAGCAGTAATATCTTTTAGAATAGCACTATCCGAATTTAGTAGTAAACCAACATATAGGCATCAGATTTATATCTGAGTCCAAAATAATTTGTGCTATCCAGAGTCCTTAACTCTGGGTTAAATAAGTACAGGGTATAGATTCCCTCTTCAGGTCTAAACAGGAATTTTTACTCTAGGGAAAAGTGGGAAGAGCTCAATGGTAGTTAATTAGGAAGGTAATTTTTCTTTTACCTAAAAGAAAAGAAAATTCCTTCTGTGACTACAGGTCTCTGAGAAATTATCTTTCAAAAGAGATTTCATTGCTCATAGAGTGTTGTGGCCTATTGATAAAAACAATTTTGTTCACTTTCTTGTCTTGAAAAAAGTGGCCTTAGCTTTTTGCAATACTTGAATAAAGTGTGTACTCGCACAGCATTAGAGACTCACAACTTTTCTGCAAGTTCAAACTTACATCTTCTTTTACTACCTTAAGAATACTAGTGAATAAAACATTAATTCAAAGAGCAAATGATAGAAACTACAATGATGTTTAATGCAAATTGTAGGAATTTACATGTTTACAAATCATCTTAAACTGGTTGTGCAGCAATTCAATAAAATATCTTTGTATTATAAAATGTGAAGAAAGAAATGTAAATTGATGTAAAGGAGGTACTGTCATTTTAATTAACCTATGTTTAATAGCTTTTCCTTCCGGACTTTGCAAAGCCTTCTCGGTAAACATGTTGCAAAGCGTTCTCTGGGAGGCCCAGCCTCCGTGTGTGTACTGTATTGTGCAGACATGAAAAAACAAACCCGTTTACTGTGTATGTGTAAATAGCCTGGTCATCAGGCTGTTTTCAGCCAATAGTCACATCCAGTGCAACTTCGCACAGACTTAGGGTGTGGTTTGTAAGTAGGATCTGTAAAATAACTGGGAGGAATTCCCATGTATACCTGTGTAAATAGATTTGTTAACTGAAATGTACTTTAAGAAAAGATAAAATCTGTAAATAAACTGATTTATAAATTAATTTCATGTCCGGTGTTTATTCTTTTCCCCTTTTGAGCCAAGTTTGGAAAGCCAGTTCCCGTAAAATCCACTTATTTCTGATCGCTTACTCAGTAGCAGAACGCTTATGCCTGGGCGATAGAGTAAGGAGAGCTGTGTGTAGGAGCTATTTACTCTGTACATAAACGCCTTCACCACATACATCTGAGCAGCCTGGGTTTTGACATTCATCACTGGATGGTTCAGCAGTCGTTGAGCACAACTTCTTGTTCTGAGCACTGTGCTGAGTGCGGGGGTGTAGCCAAGAGGACAGACATAGTTCCTGACCTCATGGAGCTTAAAGTCTAATGCAAGTCATCAAAAAATAATTTCAAAAACAATGCATGACACATTGCAATAAGTGCTGCAAAGGAAGCATACACAGGGTTGAGAATATGTAATAAAAGGAGGCAACAAGGGTGGGGGTGGGTCAGAGAAGAGTTCCCTGATGAATTATACCTTGGTGTTCTTTGTTGATGGGCTTCTTCCCTGTAATTCATGGTAAATGTCTTTTCTCCCAGATGACTTGAATTCTGATCACACTTGCAAAATAACACATACAGAAAAGTCATACAATTAAGCAGGCCACAAAGAAGAGTAACTATCTGATGACTAGGTGTGGAGGCTATCATTTATTTCTGGAAATATGAGCTTGGAGAAGAATGGAGCTAGAGATATAGGAGAATAAAAGAATTCCAAAGGTAGACATGTATGGCGCTCAGGATAATGAATCATCTCTGGTCCAACAGATTAGAAGTAATCACCATCATCTCACCTGCACTCCTCTAGTAGCCTCCTGCTGGCCATCCCTGCTACACCTTTAACCCCTATACAACCATGAACATTAAAGAAATCCTGAGAAAAAGATGTGCAAATTGCAGCAGATTCTAAGAAATTCTTTGGTTCATAAAACAGATATCGGAATGCCCACTATGTGCCAGATACTGTGTTTGGTGCTAAGGACACGATAGTAATGACAGGTTGAATCTTGGAAAATAGAGCAAATACCTGTATCCTTGAATCAAAATATATGAAAATGGTAGATAGGAGGATGACGATTGACACAGCAGAGCCAACTCTGGTGAAACCCACGTTGGTGAGACCTACAATGGTGAGTGCCTACAGAAGTTAGTGCTGGACAAACAAGCCAATGCCCTACAAAATCCCAGAAAAGCTCAGAAATTGGAGGCAGTGACTGCCACAGAAAAAGGTGTGAGGCATGGGGATTGTTTTACCATTCACTTGGTGCCCAGGCTGTGTGGCCAAGGCTAAAAGGCAGATAAGTGCCACACACACAGAAAGACCAGTGTGTGATACAAGGTTG